AAAGAGCACAGGTCATTGCCACGTCATGGCCCTTGACCAGGATGTAACCATGTTGCATGACCACTGAACCGTGATTCGCACGGACTACACTGCGATTTAAATCCCGACTAGAGCCCAAGCATAAACTCTAGCCGGGTGCAATATAGGACAAGTATGTTTTAATTGTCAAACACGTGTCGGTCCATGTACCCCTACTTCAATCGCTTAGGTTGTTATCTAGCAAACAGTTTTGGGTTTAAAACTAAGAAAACTACAAAATAAACAAACAAGTAAAGCAAAGCAAGGAGAATTCTATATGAGAGGACTTCACTTGGGTATTGCTTCCCCTGGTCTCGTATTAAGAAAGCATGAATGAAACTCTAGTGTGAAGGATGTGTTCATATACTGTGAGGTGGGTGCAATTAGCTAGGGGCAAACTCTCCTAGCTGATCGTTTAAGGTTTGTGACAAGAAGCTAGGGAATCTAGCTATCTTAATCGATCAACCGAGGAAAGCCTAACTCTCTTAGTTGACCAATCTAGGATTTTTGCATCAAGTTACTGGTCTAACTCTCTTAACCTTTCGGTTAAGGATTGCAACTCTAGGCTAGACGATCTAACTCTCTTAACCTCGGAACGATCTAACTCTCTTAAATATCTAACTCTAGGCTAGACGATATAACTCTCTTAATCTTGGAACTTAATCCGGACGACGGAGAGAAACCAATCATGGTGGGATCATGGTACTACTTCGATACTTGAGGTTTTGGACCTAGATTAACCTGGAAAGGGTTACCCAAGAGGCTAGGAGGTCAAGCTCCCTATGGGCCAAATGGGGATTTCCACCCTCTAGGTTAATTTTGACAACAATGATATAATGCAAGCAACACTCAATAATCATGATTAATTTAAGGTTTGTCCTCATTTGCCTAGGTGGGTGACACAAATTTGCCAAGAATCCAACTTCTCAAATCCTTTTTCAACAAGGAGATTCTCTCCACCTAGGCCAAAATGACTCAATCATGAGTTAAAGCTAGCACATTCAATCATTCATGAAAAACACCTCAAATATTATATAAACATTCAATCAACACACATGGAGTCATGTTCTTACATTCTAACACACATATAGTGTTGATGTGACTTGAATCGGACTATCAGCCGCTACGACTGGTAATCGGGGGTCTCATGGGCTCAATGTTATTTGGGTTCGGGTTCTGGGCCTGGTCTGTAACTGTTTCCTTTATCAGATTGGATTAGGTTTAGACCCACATGGAGAAGTACTATAAATACTTCTCATACTCCTCTGTAATCTGTAATCTCCTCGATATAGTGAAACTGGCTCTCTCTCGCCCGTGGACGTAGCTAACACACATCGTGTTAGTGAACCACGTAAATCGTGTGTCGTGTTTTCGATTCTCGCTTTCGTATTCTTGCTTTGTCGATTCCAGCGATTTCCCGATCCATAGCAGCGCGTTTATAACATATAGACTAGGATTCACAATACTCAAGTGAGTAGGTAGGCTATTCCATAGCTAGGCAAAGGAAAACAACAAAAAGGAGAGAAAGAATCATGAAGAGATGAGTGTATTCCTTCCTTGATGCTTGAATATCCCTTGAGAAGAAGAAACCTTCAATCCTCTAACTTAGGGCAAGCCCAATCTCCTTCTTCCTCTTTTGAATGGCACTTTCTCTCTCTATAATAGGAAGAGGAAACGTTAATCTCTCACTAGAAACCCTCTTTTATTCTGAAACTAAAAACCTACCACATATTTCATCGACAATTAACCTAAGGTCATAGAAATTGAGTGTCTCTTAGTAGCACATCAATGTCGCCCAAGACAACAAGGGAAGAAGGAACTCAGTCGTCCTCTTTTGTGAAGGTATTGTAAAGTATGAACATCTTGTCATAGATTATAGTGATGAGATCCAAGCCATGGATTTGTCATGCTTGGTATAGATCCTTCTTTGCACCTATCTCATATATTTTTATTTAGTTCAAGTTCAAATGAATTTCATCATTTGACTTGGGATGACCAACCACTTCATGGGCAATATCCATTGAAGGGATGGGTGAAATCTTACTCCTTTAATAATGGGATACAATCATTTATCTTTCTTTGTTAGATCTAGGAATGGCAATGGGGCAGGTCCGGGACGGGTTTCTTGGTACCCAGACCCGCCCCGTGGCAGGTCAGGTCCAGGTCGGGTAATTTATCACGGGCCACGGGTCGGGGCAGGTCGACCCAATGGGTAAGCAATTTATATGAAAAATATTAGAAATGTTCGTTATTTTTATTATAAGACCATGAAAACAAACAATATTATGATAAATATAGTTAAATTATTGGAGAAATTGAGGTTTTCACTAATGTACAACTTTATTGCAGCTAAAATTTGATTTAGTAAAAGGAAAATCCTTAGTAATTTGACTAAAATTAAGTGTAATTTAGGCAAGAACGGGTCGAGAATGGGGCGGGTCAGGGCAGGTCGGGTCTATGAGAGTACCCATGCCCGCCCCAAAACAGGTCAAACAGGTCGGGTAAAACGGGTCAGGTCGAAATTGCCATCCCTAGTTAGATCTCATATAGACTCAGATCCATATCCACTTACTACCCCTTGACGCACTCATAAAAGCCACCAATAATAATATCAAAGTAGGGCACTAAGATATATGTAACTTCTAATAAGCTCAAGGTTAGGAATCCTTACCTACCTAGAGTACTGAGAGATCATATATAACTTTACCTATATGAACGTATCCATATCTTATGTCTCACCTTCTAATTGTTCCACACTTTGGTTAAACCGCACATAAACTTCATGCCTATGTGCCATGTTAGTTGTCTTCACATACTAGACATTATGCATGCTTGTCAACGCCTACAAACACCATACTTTGCCATGGATGTTTAGGAAATCATCCAGGGTTGGAGGTATGTTTCAATCCAAACATAATTGATTTACTAATGTTTACCAACATCATATCCTTCATAAGAATAGATCTTGGTGATGAGGTATTGTCTAGTGCCATTTTCTGGAATCTACTACATAAAATAAATGTGTGGTTTCGTTATCTTGTAACTAATTGAATTTTAATGAGAACTTAACATCAAAATGTTCCCACTATTCATCTAGCACATGGCAACACTCATAGTGTCTGTATAACTGAAACTCAAATTCTCTTGAGACTTTCACAAGTGGACCAAGATCTACAACTCACCAATAAACATGATCCATGTAGGGTTGGTTAGACTCTTTGGTCGTTGGTGTGTAGGGCGAAGTATGTGGTTCTGAGGCTGAAGAAGATTGAATGATGACAGAGTAAACATACCAAGTTTATGTTCATTTATAGAGACACAAAAATATTCTTTCAGCAACAATATGATTAAATATATGTGTTGGATGAAGAGTTGATGGCTCACATTAAGTTAAATGAACAATGGATATCACAATTCATTTCGATAAAGCTGAAAGAACAGTTGATTACACAACTCATTATGCTAAAATTGTATGAACAGTTGATGACACAACTCATCCGATCAATAATGTGCTCAATTTATGGACATATGACTAACTATAGTGTTTTCGTCATTGATAACGCCATATTTAATTAATAGACTTTAGTTTAGTGAATTTAGTTGTTGTATTATTTTGATTGGGTTGATTATGATATTATATTCTATAATTAATAGAATTTAGACTTATTTGATTTAGTTATTACGATAACTTACCATTTAAGAAACGAGTAGTTATTGATAAAAAAAAAAAAAAGAAACGAGTAGTTATACAAGTGACATATTACGTAATCACATGGGGTGGGTTGAATTTTTCTTTTTAGAGAGAGACCCAAGTCAACAAATACATAACATGCATACATAAACAGTGCGTGGCATCTGTACTTAAATTAAATGGAATCATTAATGATCAAAAGATTTAATCATAAATTAATAAAAGTAATTAGTAATGGGGGAAATGAATGAATAGATAAGTTAGCGACCCAAAATCCGCGGCACAGATTTGCTAATGATCAGATCAGATGCCAACAGCGGTCATTTCTCTCTCTGAACACTAATTTTGCCGTTTCTATTATTCCCCATAAACAAATCAAACAACTACTAGCACCAATAAAATATTCGACGGCTACGAGGATTAAGCAGAGAATATAATTTTGATTACTAATTTAGACCAGGAAGATGGGTTAGTGTGGAAAGCTTTCAAGTATAACTCATACAATAAATGATAAAACCTCAGATCATAACCAATTCGATACATTTAGTTACAAACAGTTTTGTCTATTGTCTTATGTCTCTTATAAAACTTCGGCACTTCTGCTATGCTATAATCGTTGGTGTTTTAATGTATAACTTGAAGTTGTACCATAACGTTTTAATGTATAAGTTTCTGTTGTACCATCAAGAAATTTGTACGTTTATGTTATAGTACAACTTCAAGTTGTATCATCAAGAAATAGGTAATATATTCAAGATGATTACGCATTTACAAAATACTGTCTCAATTCATTTTATTTCATCAGATCCGGAATGTGATATGGTTCTGAAGGATGAACTGGATATGGACAGTTCCAATAAGATTTCTTTCTCAAACAAAAACCCATTTTTTGATTTCTTTCATCTATTCCATGATCGGAATACACGTTACACCACGATTTTGAATCCGAAGAGAGATTTCAAGAAATGGCATAAAGGTACAAATTTATGTTGTACCACAAAAGAATTTATACACAAGAGTATAAGTATAATCTGAAGATGTACCATAACGTGTCAAAAATACAACTTTAAATTGTACCAACAAACAATTATTTACGGGACGGCATTGAAAATATGTTGGAAGATTAAAGGTCTTATATACACTTCGTAAAAAGATGAATACTTCTTGTTCTTGGGCGAAATAATTTCTTTTTTCACCTACCCATAACTTTTAAACCAAAAAGAAAAAAACTCACAAAAAGAGAAACGATCGGAAATACGATAACATGTTAAATCCTTCCTATCAGATTCAGAAAAAATGATGAAGATTTCGTCGGTGGAAAAGAAATGATGGGAAGCAAAGGATATTAAAGTGGAGCCAACAAAAGACGACAACTGAACAGAACACAGAGAGAGAGAGAGAGAAATACAGAGGGAGGGGCAGGGCGAGCAAAACAACGAATCGATAGGTGTTCGCAAAAAAAAAAAAAAAAACCCAGATATCTCTCCCTTCTCAGGATGACAATGATGGCGTTCTTCTCCTCTTCTTCCCCACCGCAGAAGGGTGTTGTCGTCACAGTTCCCGTGCTCGTCCTCGCCGTTTCCGTCGCCGCTCTCACTCTGTTTTTCCTCGCTTCTTCCCTCTCCGCCCCCTGTTCCTGCTCTTTCCCACCTCCGTCCCCTTTCTCCGGCGACGGTGGGGAGAGGGTATCGGCCACGGCGGCGGACATCGACTGGGTAAGGGATCAGATCCGAGGGAATGGGTTGCATATGCAGGACAATGTTCTGCGTAAAGGGATCAATCCGCGGACTAGGGCTCAGCAACTCCAAGATCTCATTCAGTAAAGCTCTCCCCACTTATCTCCTTCATTTCTGTTTCCAGGAGATTTTCCGTTGTTCTTGTTGTTGCATCTGATTCTTTCCCTTTGTTGAGGTGATTTTGGGGGGGTCTTTCTTTTGTTCGAGTATAAGTAAACATTACTACCCATGTTGAAAGTTTATTTCTTTCCTTCTTCTTTCTTCGTGATTTTTTGTGGGCATTTCATTCGTTTGAGCTTTAAGCGAATATAACTATAGCCCATGAGGGAAAGTCGCTTCCTTCACTCTTTCTTGTTTCTTTTGTTTATTATGGTTGTTGTTGGTAGAAAGATGATGGGATCTGGGGGTGTGAAATTCCGGGTAGGATGATTAGGGTTGATTGAGTGTGTTCTTTAGTGAGCTGTCAGTTCGGTTTGTTCTGTAGCCGTGGAATGCATTCCAGATTTAACAATCCGCCATTGAAGTTCATTCACTGGTAAGATGTGAAATGAAAGAGCAGCTGTAATTGTTTTCTACTTGGCAGGGGTAATGAATGTTTCTTCTGAGTAAAGCCTACAACACAATATTTCCTACTAGAGGCTTCAGTTTTTCAATTTCTTTATTCCTCAAGTTTGCTTGCTTTACAAGTTAAGCATGCTCCTCCCGTTGTCAATCAATCCCTCTTCCCACTGTACCATGTAACCAGATCTTGCCAAATTCAAATCTGTCTTATTTCAGATACAAGGGCATCTCGCACTATGATGGTCCAGATTCGGATAACCACACTGCACTCCCTTGCCCCGGAGAACTCCTGGTAGAAGAGCACCACAGCAATTACGGGGAACCGTGGGCTGGTGGAAGGGACGTGTTTGAATTCCTTGCTGAATCCACGAATCTCTCGCCAAACTCCCAGGTTCTTGAGATCGGCTGTGGCACATTACGTGTCGGTCTTCATTTCATCCGTTACCTCGCTCCATCTCGATTTCACTGTCTAGAAAGAGACGAGCTTTCTCTCATGGCTGCTTTGAGATACGAGCTCCCGTCTCAGGGACTTCTACACAAGAGGCCTGTGATTGTTCGAGGAGAAAGCATGGATTTCACAAGGTTTGGTGATGCCGTTTCTTACGATCTTATATATGCTAGTGCCGTGTTTCTTCACATGCCGGATAATTTAGTATGGACGGGGCTTGAGAGGTTGGCAGGGAAGTTGAAGCCCTTTGTTGGGAGGATATATGTGTCACATAATATCAAGTTCTGTTCAAGGCTGGGAGGTGAGCAGTGTACTAAGAGGTTGAGTGATTTGGGGCTAGAGTATCTCGGCAAGAAAACGCATGATAGTTTGCTGTTCAATCACTATGAGATTTGGTTCGAGTTCAGACGGTCCAGAGCTTAGGTAACAGAGGCGTGCCATCAAGGTTATTTGGCGAGCTTCATTCCTACGTATTCTTTCAAATGTTTCATCGGCATTATGTTGATTGTTTGATGTTGTAGTCAGGGTTATGTTGTTGTATATATAAAGTAGAGAAGGAACAGCCATAGCATGATAGCCATGATAACAATGTTGCTGAGCTTGGATGGGTAGCTTGCTTACTGTTGCGATATATGACTGTGAGACACCTTTCTGCTTGTATTTAATCAGGAACTGGCTGCAACTAAAATGAGAGGAAGTCTCCAGTCAAAATGATGTAATGGCTGCTCTATTTTTGTAACTCTAGCAGCAGGCATTTTTTCTCTACCTTTTAACTTCGCTTATACTGTCTCAAGTGCCATGCTATGATACTAACATCTGGAATTGTTGCATATTTTGCTTGCGGATGATCCTGAAGGCTTGATTGTACTTTATAGTCTTCATATTATGTAATTTTAACAGATCACTGAATCATGTTTTCATAATTTGATCCAAAATTTCATAAGATTACCTCAGGTTTAGTAGACACGTTCTAGAGGAGTCTCACTGTTCGGCTATCACTATTCAATTCCTCCATCTCTCCTTTTTAATTTTTTTTTTATTATTATTATCTTTTTGTTGTTCGAACATACTTCCAGAACACTCCAAAAGAACATGTGATTCAAGAGTAGGTAGTGTCAGAAAAAAATGAACTTTGCATATGCTGTCAGAGGGGTAAAAAGCAAGAACATCATCTCTTATGTTATTGAGTGATTAACAACATCAATACCTGTCAATCCTAACAAAAAGCATATGCTGGCTGGCAGAGGGGTAGGTCATGTTAGCAAATAATCAACAGATCTCCCCCCATTTTTCCTTTACTTTTAACCAAGCCAAACCTATTAAACAATGCCAATGATAAACAAATCAAATCTAGAAAAGAACCCCCCTCTTTTCCAGATCAGTCATCAGAGCACACAAAACCAAATACACACGCCACACACAAACACCAGAATCAGTTACCAGCTTCATGATGGCAAGAAACACCATGTGCAGCATCTGTTATGGCTAGTTGAGATCAGACATTCTTCTTCTGTGATTAGCTATTGTAGTTCTAAAGTTAGGATCTGATGAAGTTACCAACTTGTTCCTTGGCATGGAAGCAACCTTTGAGTCTGAGCTACCGCATTTGGCTTTAGGGCTATCTGAAAGGTTTTGTTTCGTGTCAGCATACCTTGACTTCTTGTTTGAATCACCTCGTAGTACTGATTTGAGACGAATGTCTGAGTAACTGAGTGATTGAGAACACGACAACTGAGCAGAGCTTCTTGCCTCTGATCTCAAACTTCTTGCCTTGCCAACCACTTCTCTTTCTGCAGCACTTTGCCTATGGCGACTTGCAGCAGTAGAGGTCATGAATCTCGGAAGGGAGCTAATGATGTTTCTCTTGACTCCTCTTTCAGTAGGTTGCAGGATTGGGTTTTCTGATTCCTTTTTGTTTTCTTCATGAGCTGTTGATATGTCTTCCTTGTCTGAATATGAAGGCTTTCTGTATTCATGGATGAGGAACTCTGCCTTTCTGATTTGGTTCCTGAGCTTCTGGCATTCTTCTTCTGCTTCTCTCATCTCGTGTTCGAGCTCTGTTATTCTCTTCTCTCTTTGCTTGCTTATATCCTGATTTGAAGGGAAGGGGAAATATGGATGCCATTAGTTTATAAGTTTTCTAGTAATTTGTATCACTGTTGACATCCCAGGTTAGTTTTGTACTACCTCTGAAATTTCTCTGTCAGTCTCAATTGCTCTTGCCCTACTTGAAAAGCTCAAAGAGCAGATTGTCTCTCCAACATCTTCTTCACATGGGCTTATATTCACAAGCATCAAAACTTTTGAACTATGACCTACAAGAAAGCATCATTGTAAATCCATCAAGTACATTATGAGGTATTCAAGTCTAGGATTGTCATGAGGTCACTTGGTAGCCAGGGGATATTAGAAAACATGAATATTGATAATTCTTGATTATGAGAGCATGTGTGGTCAGAATACAGTGCTTGGTGAAAAGATTGTGAAAAATCATATATAATAATTTACCTTCAACGAAAATGGTAGGAGATAAGATGTTATGTTATAATTTGTTGAGCGACCTAAGATTTTTAGTGTATTGTAACTTCTAAGTTCTAAGAATACATGAATATGAAATACATGGTTTTTGTGAAGCTCAGAAAAAGAACAATCTTTGCATGCCAAACTTTCTACGGTTACTTGAATCTCAGGGTAAAAAAATTCACAGCAACAGTGTGCTTACCTAAGGAATCTTTCAGTATCTGAGTTAGCTTGCTATTTCTGCAAATAACAAAATTGGACAATAGTCTGGAATCAGGTTGGCAAAGAGTGGATAATCTGAAAAGCTTTTCTGAGGCCATGTGGCTGGTCAAAACAGAGAAGAGATGCATCTGAAATAAGAACTGAAGGACATGCCTGTAAGGAACATGGCCTCTTTTCCTTCTAAGAGCAGCAACAACGTCGCCAAGTGCAGAAAGAGAGAGATTTATGGCTCTTCCTTCATCAAGGGTCAATCCAGTAGCTCCTGTCTTCAACAATCTCTCACTTCCACCAAGATCAACCATCCACAATTTGCTCGCTTCTGGCCTACTTCCTTGCTTGCTTTCGCCATGTCTAGAGATTGTGATCCTCATCAAGCTATTGCACACACGGAGCTAAACAGATAAAGTAATCATCAAACATTAGGAAATATAATGAAACAAGCTCGAGAAGAAGTCCTCTAAAACCATACCAGTGCGACCTGCTCGATGTCTCGTTCACATTAGTCCATGAAGTCGAGCGACACCTCCTTCCCTTTGAGTACCACCATTTGGCTTTAGCAATGTTGGGAAGTTGAACTTCTGTTAGACCCTCAATCTCCACCATTCCTTTTGGATCTGTCTGAATGTTGAGATTGCTGTAGAGAAAGTTAGACGCACAAGATATTAACCAAAAAGAAGGGGGGAAAACATTCCAGGGTCAAAGCACAAGTTTCTTGGAGATTGATTTATTATGATCACTAACCATCTAGCTGACGCTTTAGGAGAAAGTAAGTCTTTCAGGCTGCCCATGTAAACCTCCAACATGCTCATGGAGAATGTTAGAGAAGCTGAAGAGGCTTGGCGAAAGAGCAGTTCGAGAGCTCGAGGGATGATCCCGGGTTGATCATTGAGACCATCCTGAAATCATGATTCAGAACTCCAATCAATACACTGATGAAGAGGAAAGCCAATTCAAAAAGGGCTTTAATCTAAAACACATTGTTTCTAATGAGATTCTGACCATTGTGAATGTTTTCCCAGTCCCAGTTTGACCATATGCCAATATGCATCCATTATGCCCATCTAGTGCTGATTTAAGCACTGGTTCAACCTCCAGAAACACATCATCTGTAAAAACATTTTTCTTTCAGAAGAAATGCATACGAAACATGGATGAGATCGAGTCTAGTACAGAGGACAAAACCTTGGTCAGCAGATTGGTGGAAAACCCTATCAAATCTGAACTCTTTCCTGCTTCCAACAGATCTAACCACAACCTTGTCCGAGTCAACCGAAACCGGTTCATGAATTCCTCTCCTTTCAGTTAACAAGAATGGCCTAACTCGACAGAAAACTCTAATGCTGCCTGTAGACAACGGAAATCAATCAATGAAATGTGATCAAGGAGACAAGCCGTATATGTTAAAACTTTGGAAGAACAAAGCAAACGACCAATCAAAATTACTACCTTTAATATCTAGTATCCTATTCAAAGCCTCCCTTCTCTTCTTATCCAAACACACTTCTTGCAGTCTCAGCTCTGCAATTTCTCCTGCAGAAAAAAGTTTTTGACTCTTTTCAAGTGTTGACCAATCTCAAAACCCCTCAACTGAAACAAATTAATGAGCAACAAATTTGTGAGTTGACCAAATTCTGTAATAAAGAGCCTCTCTCTCTCACCCACCTTCGAGATTCAGTATTGACTTCTCAAGCTCGTTGCTTTCGTGCTCAGGAACAACGTTGACATCAGTGTATAAAAGTTCTGTTGGTGAGTAGTCCAGCTGCAATTCAGTGCCATGATCTTGCTTCATTGGAGATGTTGATCTGAAGAGCCCTTTTGCACTGTCCAAATGCAACAAGATCTGTTCCTTTTCACGGGAAATGCGCATTTCCAGAGCGAAGAGAGGAGAAGAGTCTCTTTTGAAAGGAAAAGAGAGAAATGGGTTTTCTTTTTATGTTAGAAAGATTACTGCTTTGCTTCAGCAGTACACCAGCAGAATGTGGGGAAAAGGAGTAGAAGCAAAGATACTGAAGAAGCTAGGTATAGTAAATATTCTGTGAAAGCTTCTAGCAAACAGCAGAACCCAGAAACAGCTTGAATAAATGCCCCAGCACAGATCAAAAGGGGGGATGGAAGAAAAAGGAGGATGAGAGGTTGCAATCCAGCCTAAACCAGCAAAAAAAAAAAAAGAAGAAACTCAAAGGTGGAAACTTTATGGAAGAATGATCCGCATAATCCCTGGTTGGAACAAAAGATCACACAGTGTGCCACTGTGTTTGAATATGTTTTGAAGCTATGGAGAAACCCAAGTTGGAAAATCTTGGAAAATGGGAAATCTAGAGAGAGTTAGTAGCTTTTTTTGCAAATGATTGAACACTCCTTCAACACTGATTATATTAGTACTAGGAGATGATGGGATGCTTTGCTTTTCTCTCTCAACTGCTTCTGGTCCTGTTATGAACTATGAAGCGTTTTTTCCTCCTCAATTCCCTCCTTTCTTTGTTTCTTTCTTCCCCTAAAATTTCAACTATGTTTTTATAAGGGGAAAAAAATTCAACTCTTTCGTCATTGTTTTCATTTTGTCTGGGCAGTGTTATCAGTTCTCAGTTCTCACACCTCTATTCCCCCCATATTAATCACTTTAATTAGGCAAAATTTTCCTCGACATATTTTGATGCCAATCTTATTTAACCAACCTATTAAGTGCCGTACCGGAGACGGTATCGGGAAAGTCAATAGTAGGTATTTTATGTTAAAACCGTGGTTTAATAGTAGTTCAACCGTTAGACCGTTAAATACTGTCTACCGATTTAGCTTACGATACTAGTATTTTGTTGTTGAACCGCCGATACTATACGGTTTATGTACCACGGCTAAAACCTTGTAAATAAAAAATTAGCAGAATGCTTAGGGATAAGGAAATGCTGAATTCTGGTTTTTCCAAGTGGTTGGTGCAGGATCCAGATCCATGAAATTATGAACAGTCAAAACATAAAATAAAAATCAACTTTTATTTATCTGATGGTGGGAGCGGGAGGAGCGGGAGGGAATCAAAGTGGAATCCAAGGTGGCGAGCGGGGAAATTCAGGTGCGCAGACTGTGTTTTTGTTTGAGCTCTCCTGACCGTCGATTGTATCGGATCAGTTTCCATGTGCTTGATTTGAAAATACTTGGGTCACGTGGAACGTGATGGTTGGAGGAGGATTGTATAACTGAGTGAGCACGGTCGTAGGGGATTATTTGTTCTTCCTTTTTGCACCTTATCCGTTTTACTTTTTCCCAACTGTTTTAACAGTAATAAAAAAAAATGGAAGGAGCAGAAAGGAACCCACTCGTCTTTGGCGGGCTTTTATCGGAGGAACAATCAATGACAATGGCGAAAATTGCCCAAGGAATGGAGGATGGCGTGGCCACCCTCTGCGCATACATGAAAGACCTAACCAAACAACTATGGAAGACTTTAATGGAGTCAAAGAATGGATCGGTGGCATCCTTATTCGTTTGTGAAGCATGTGGAGAATAAGATCATGAAGGATTCAAATGTTATAGTCATGAAGAGCAATGACATATTGATGTCAATTTTACAAATTAAGGCTATCAATCAAGACCCAATAAGATAGATATGCTACTTATCAAAGATTCAACCAAACTCGCATACCATATTGCCAATAGCCTGCTCCAGGAGGGGGAAGAAGGCAGATGATCGCGCCAACATCAACTCTATCAATGCACCCTCTGTTCTTGATGCACAATGGCAAAAGAAACCAAGTCAACTGGATTTGGTAATAAACCTTAATACAAGAGGGACAAGGAGAAGGTATCTCCAATTTTTGGTCAACCTCAAAAGTCTAAAAACAACCTCCCAAGCTATACAAAAGACAATCCAAATAGGGAGGAAGTTAAGGTCATCTGGACTAGGATGGGAGCAGCCAAGAGGTTCCCAGGCATTAAAAGGAAGAAGAAAAGAAGAAAGCAGTCTATCCATCCCTCTTCAGAAATCTGATAGAACATTTTGGAGGAGCACAAGTGTTAGTGCCAATATTGGAGAAGGTGATTTGAATGGAGCATCTCAAAGGAAAGCTGGAGATCCTCATGGAAGAAGATGACAGGGTCGATGAGAAGGAGACTACTGTTAAGAAAACCCCCTTGGGGTTATGCGGAATTTGACCTTAATATCACTCTTGTGCATCTCTGAGGGTCTCGTCCTCCTTTTGCGCAAAGTGGGTAATCTCTTGCAGATCCGGATGAGAGATGGTAGCGTTTCAAGAATTTGTTCACCAAATCGGCCCACGATGTGATCGACCCTGGTGTACGGTTATCCAACCACGCCTTACCCCTTTCGTCTAGAGAGAATGGGAAGTAGCAAAACCGCAAAGCTTCTGGAGGTACACCATTTGATTTTGATCTTGTTGATCAGCTCGTGGAATCGATTGAGGTGCTCTCATGGGCATTCACCTTCCCGCCATTGAACACCACAAAGTCCTCAACATCTGGATAACACAAGAATTTACCTCAAAGTTGTTTGCAGCAACTTGAGGGTGATGGATACTGACTCGTTTTTCGATACAGTTGGTTAACAGTTTAACCAAAAACCACCGGTTACCTGTTAAACCGGTTACCAGCCCTACTCATTACGCCACACCTCCCGTCGCCTCTACCCTCTGGAACAAAAGTCCAGAACCGACCCTTCCCGACGGCCAGCAAGTAGCAGCCGCCGAAATCAGCTAGATGGAGGGGAGCAACAGCTGGGTTGTACTGTTGCTTTTTGTTTTCTGACATTTAATTAATTTGATGTTTTGTGGTGTGGATGTTGAATGAGATTTCGAGATTTAGTTTTTCTACAAATTATGCAGGTTGTCTATATTCCAAAAAAATGAGATATATACGGCTAAATATTCTATAGCAAGTTTAGATCGATCAAAATTGAATTGGGACTGATTAGACTCAGCTTAGTGCTGCTGAATCTTATCTCTCAACAGCAACTTTCATCAGTCAAGGGGAGGCAGATTACGGAGGCGGGTCTTATCGCCAATGAGCTGGTTGATAGCAGAAAGAAGAGCAGGAAGGCTGGCCTCATGTTTAAGCTTGATATTGAGAAGGCCTTCGACAACGTGAACTGGGAATGTTTATTCAAGATCCTTTCAGGTCTGGGTTTTTCGGAGAAATGGAAGAGTTGGGTAAAGGGATCCATGTGTTCCTCTATGATTTCTGTGTTGGTTAACGGTGAGGCTAAAGGGTATTTCAGAGCTTCTAAAGGTCTTCGACAGGGCGATCCCTTCTCACCGGGCTTGTTCGTACTAGTTATGGATGTCTTGTCAATGATGCTGAAAGCAGTTAGGGAAGCTGGTAAATTCGAAGGATTTTATATGGACGAAGACTCCAAAAACGGCGAAGTTACCCACCTCCTGTTCGCTGACGACACAGTGATATTTTGCGATGCCAATCACGATCAGGTTCTGAATATTCTGGCTACTATTGTGTGTTTTCAGTCTGTGACCGGTTTAAGAGTAAATCTTGACAAGTCAGTGATGTATACTGTCGGCGATGTGGCTGATCCTAGTTTCTACGCTGCTATTTTTGGGTGCAAATGGAGCCGTGATCCGGCGAAGTACCTCGGCTTCCCTCTTGGGGCCAAACCGAACGATCCGACAATTTGGGACCCCATGATCGACAAAATGAAGAGTAAACTTAACGGCTGGAGGAGCAGACATCTATCATACGGAGCTAGGCTAGTCTTGTGCACTGCGGTTCTAGGGAGCATGCCAACATACATGTTTTCCCTATTTAAGGCTCCTGTTTCGGTTATCCAGGATCTGGAAAGAACCCATAGGAGGTTCTTTTGGAATGGTGGGCACGACATCAATAGGAGGGCCCTCGTGGATTGGAAACTATGCAAAACTGAGAAAAGCAAGGGTGGGCTGGGGATTCATGACTTGAAAGCTTTCAATGATGCAATGTTGTCCAAGTGGCTGTGGCGGTTCGCAACGGAGAGAGATAGTTGGTGGCGCAAGCTTATAGATATCAAGTACCACAATCCCTCCTCGGTTTGGCAAACGAAAAAGGTTAGAAGTGGTTTTTCTCAATCGGTGTGGGCAAACATATCTAAAGAACATGAGCTATTTTGGAAGTTCGCAAGCCTAGATCCGGGAAATGGAACGATGATCTCCTTTTGGCACGACGTTTGGAACCAAGGGATGGTGTTGTCTTCTGCATTCCCCCGCGTTGCTGCTGCCGCTGTCGACTCTGAAGCAAGACTCTCCGATGTAGCATCCCTCAATGGTGAGTTGGTCTTTCAATCTTAAATATAATTTGAGGGGGGGGGGGGGTGTGCTGAAAGGGAAAGGGTAGAATTGTTGAACTTTCTTAATAATATCCCCATGAACAATAATGCTCTTAGTCCGTGCAGAATAGTTTGGAATCCTGATCCAAACAGTAAGTTCTCGGTGAGTTCGTTTTACAGGAAGCTTGTGCAGGAAAAGCTGTCAGGAGTGAATGACTTTCCGTTGAAACAAATTTGGAAGAGTTTGATCCCTAGTAAAGTGTGCTTTTTTATGTGGATGGTTTATCATAACAAGATACTCACAGTTGACAACTTGAAGAGGAGAGGGTGGTCAATGGCAAACAGATGTTGTCTCTGCTGTAAAAATGAAGAATCCATTAATCACCTACTGGTGGGGTGTGAGTTCGTGAAGGAGGTATGGAGAAGTATAAACAGGGTTAGATCGGTGTTGTCCTACCAAGACAGGGAGGTGAAACTAATAATCAAGCACAACCCTCATTCCAAGCCGGGAAACGTCGGGGATTGGTTTACATACTGTATCCTTCATGCGGTTTGGTGGTGTGTGTGGTTGGAAAGGAATCAGCGGGTGTTCGAAGAGAAGAAGTCGACTGCAATCGGGGTAGCTAGAAGAGCAGCGAGGAATGCGATGGAATGACTGGTGTCTCACGGCCACATTGGTAAAACTCAGGGACTGACTTGGCTGCACGAGAGCTTATTGATCGGCTGATCTGTGGCGGCGAGACCGGACTTGGAGTTGTTGACGTTCGATTTGTTCAGTTTGTTGCCGCAAAGCTCTATCGATCTTGTTGGATTGGGCATCAGCGTATGGCAGCATGGATAAAGACTTTGAAGCCAGGCGTTTGCAGGAGTTCAGGACTCGCAGTCTTTGATTTCGGTTGCTGCTGTTCTGTTGGATCGATGGTGGCGTGTGGTGTACTTTGCTTCGGTTTGCTTCTTGCTTTGGCTGCTATTTTTGCTTCTTTGTTTCGGTGTTTCTCGGTCGCTGCTTGGCATGGGTTGGCTTTTGGTTCTTGGCTTTTGGTTCTTCTTCGGCTGCTGTGGGCATTATCATTGTGTGGGGGTACAGGGGAAGTCTGGTCTTCCTTGTACTGTTCTTCCTTTTTTGGGTTTACTTTGTTCTTGCTTGTCCTTTTTTATTTTTGTTTGTGATCAATCTTGTTGATCACTTTTGCCTGTACTCTTGTTGCTCTCTGACAGTCTCTGTCAGTTTGTTTCGTTTTATATTTTAATGCAATCACCCTTATAAAAAAAAAAAAAAAATCGAATTGGGACCGAACTGTATTCAATCCTTTTTTTTTATCTCTATATTTCCAAAAAGATCTGACCGAAATCGGATCATTCCGAACCAGTTTAACAATCGACTCGAACGGTATAGCCACCATAGTTTAAAGTCCAATGCACCAGGCAGCAACGCTAAAAAAAGGTTTCATATAATGACCACTTGCCAGCATCAGCAACGCTAATCGTGATTAATTATCCAAACAAAAGAGTTAGCTCCGCTTCTCTCTCTGTCTCCCAATTACCTTTGACTTCCACTTTCCCGTTCCCCGTCTCAAAAGAATCCTTTTTCGTATTTTCTCTTTTCTTTCTCAAATCTCTCTCTTTCTCCCTTTCTCTACATCCGGCTCTCTGTGTGTAGAAGAACATAAGAAGAAGACGACGGGAGCAAACAGTCTCATAGAAACACCTCTACAGTACCAATCTTTTTCTTCTTCGCCATCGCCGTCGATTTTCACCATCATCTTCATCGGAAGCAGCTCTCCAATCTGCAATCGCTAGGGTTTTTGTATTTTTGTTAATGTTAAATTCCACACTGTGTCCGACTTCCTGCAATCGCGCGGCAATCGGAGACATCTGAAGAGCTCTTCTGAGTCCTTTGTCGTAGTTTGCAAATCCCGCTGCTCACCGGTTAGTTCGTCTCTCTCTCTCTATTAGCTTTCTGGGTCTCGCTGGGACACTTGGGGGAGTTCAAAGTCCGATTGCGGCTAATCCGCGCATTGGCACTAGTGTTTTGATGCGTCTCTTTCACCGTTATTTTAGTTAGGGATTGGATCGCATGCAAACAACGTAAATTCTCCGAATGTTGAGTTGTTTTTCCCCCCGTTGGTTGTGAATTGAGACGGGCTGATGTTGAGAGTTGTTAGCAGTATTGAACTTTTAAGTTTATTGGGGAAGTAGTGAGGGTGGATCGGTGGATGGATGGAAAGGCTTTCGCTGAAGAAGAGGTGAATGGTGGACTTAGATTCTTAGTTAGTTAGCTGAAGCTTGAAGGCGATTGGTGTGTGGATATTTAGTTTGTGTTTGGTGCGTTGGTTGTCTCTTTCGTGGGAACTACATGAAATCTGATGCTTGTGGCGTGAGGTGATTTTCTTATTTCCTTTTGGTTTGGCTTAAATAATTCTGTTTGGTGGAGTTTTTGGTGTTTGAAAGGTATTTTATGGCATTGAGTTGCAATGACTGCGAAAATTTAGAAGTAATAAGTAGGGAAGTAAGCAACTTTCGCAGTATTATGAGCGCTGCTGGGTTCTGAAGCCTATTCTGAGATGGGTGACAACTTGTACCCTTGGTGCCGCCACAATTCGAATGTTTAGCTGGTTGGATGTTTTGTGGATTATCTCAGTTCGACTGGATGCTTCCTTCTTTGCTACAGTGTGAGGGCTTGTTAAGCATCAACCCGTTACATGTTGTAACTCTTGGACTATTGTCAAGATTAATTCTGTTCTGATTTGCCACCATTAACGTGGTGTGACCTGCAATTAACCTTTTGAATTTCATAGGACGAATTTTTAACCTGTTTTAAGATGTGTACAACTCTTGTGTAGAATGACTGATCAGAAGTTCTGTTATTACGAGAACCATGTTCATTCGCACATGTAATAGTCAGCCCTTTATAGTAGACAGAAAAGGAAATTAATTTCTCTCTTGCTGATTGGCTGTTTTGTTTATTCAAGGAGTTCCGCAATGCACCGAGTGGGTAGTGCAGGGAACACAAATAGTTCTGTTCGTCCGCGTAAAGAGAAGAGGCTTACATATGTGCTGAATGATGCAGATGATACCAAGGTAAGGTAGCTTTGAATTTTAGTTTTTTCACTGATTAAGTACCCCGCTAAGGTTAGCCGTTTGCATTCGATGTTTCGTTCTTACAGTGCTTAGTTTTGGTTATGTATGATTGCAGCATTGTGCTGGTGTAAATTGTGTGACTGTGCTAAAGTCATCATCTTCCGGGAGAGATTACCTTTTCACTGGGAGTCGTGATGGCACATTGAAGAGGTGGGCAGTGTCTGAAGATTCTGCTACTTGTTCTGCTACATTTGAGTCACATGTTGATTGGGTATATTCTTTTTCCTTTTTTCACTTCACTGTTATTATCTTATGGCGTTCGTGCTGCTGGTCAGATTGCTGTTTTCCTCTATTGGTTTTGGTTGCAATTAGTCTTACCTCTTGTAGCCTTCAGCTGATAGCTTGACTAAAAATTTTCTTGATAAGTACTGAATTTTGATAAGTGAGCATGTTGTTTCTTTGCTGTTACTTCTTTCAAAGAATTGGGAACTGATGAGTGCTTTTTTAGTCATTTAATCTTTGTGGAAATGATAATTTGCCTCTCTGAAGTTTATATAATCCTGGCTATGCTTGTATAGTACTACTATAAACTGGGTTAGTATATCAGATGCAGTTCACAAAGCACCATTTCTTTCCATGCAGGTGAATGATGCTGTCCTTGCAGGGGAAAATACCCTTGTCTCATGTTCTTCAGATACTACTCTTAAGGTTTTCCTTACAATTTGTTGGTGTTCTTACACTAATCTTTTTCTTCTCTTCTTGGCTGATTGTTGGTTCATCAGGTTAGTTTTTCTTACCTCTTTTTTTCCCCCTGTTACGTGCTAGACTTGGGATAGCTTGTCCAAAGGAACTTGTACAAGAACTCTCCGACAGCACTCTGACTATGTTACACGCCTTGCTGCAGCAGAAAGAAATGTAATTTATGTTTGAAACTTTGTGGACGTGATTAATTGATTGTAGTTTTTTGTACGTTATAAAATGCATTTGTTGATTTTCTCTTAGTGTCATGCATTTTAGAGCAATGTAATTGCTTCCTGTGGCCTTGGTGGAGAGGTTTTCATATGGGATATTGAAGCTGCACTCACTCCAGTTTCAAAGTCAAGTGACGCAACTGAAGATGAGGGCTCAAATGGGGTAGGTGGTTCTGGTAATTCGTTGCCTATGACAAGTTTACGGCCCATTAGCTCAAGCAACAGTATTACTTCGCACAACACTCAGTCCCATGGGTATGCGCCAACTGTTGCAAAAGGCCATAAGGAGTCGGTATATGCATTGGCAATGAATGATACTGGATCAGTTCTTGTATCGGGTGGAACAGAGAAGGTATAGTCCTGCTGCATGCTTACCTTGCTCTATTCTGGTGGAAAGTTGTTTGGTACTAACTGATCTTATAGATCCTGGCACCATAATGCCAGTTCTTGGTTTTTCTAAGCAAAATTAGGTCTGACTTTGTTCCTTCAGGTTGTGCGTGTTTGGGACCCAAGGAGTGGTTCAAAGACCATGAAGCTAAGAGGTCATACTGATAACATTAGAGCTTTGCTTCTAGATTCTACTGGCAGGTTGGTTAATGATCTATTTTACTTGGTTCGTTTTGTTAAGAATGATTAGGTACTTTCTTGTGACATTTACTGTAAGATTATATAAGACCCTCAGAGCGGCCTGGAATTAATGAAGTTGCTAAAAGTGTTCTTTCTTCAGTGTAACTTTCCAGTGTCTATGACGAATGTTTGTTTTAATCTTGTGGTGCTATTGTTCTATATCTGTTAAGTTGCAACTTCTTTGTTGTTCCCTATGAGGCGTATATCGTTATATCTTCATACACACCTGTTATGTTTTGTGACTTTTAGCTCTGTTTATTATGCTGTGATGACAAATTTTCATTTGAACTTTGAGATTAATGGTCTCACTGCTTGCTTCTATCTGTTTTTTTTTTATATATTTCTCTTCAATTTTACATGACTTTGATATTTCCTTCATCCAGGTTTTGCTTATCAGGGTCTTCTGATTCAATGATCAGGTGAAGTTGGCTACCTTTTTATTAGTGTTATACATCGCTCATCAACCCAGATCTTACATTGAATTGTTTATGGTTCTTTAGACTATGGGATCTCGGTCAACAAAGATGTGTACATTCTTATGCGGTGCATACTGATTCTGTTTGGGCCCTGGCCAGCACCCCTACATTTAGTCATGTTTATAGCGGCGGGCGAGATCTTTCTGTGAGTGAATTTCGCAAAGCCCTTTACTAACTTAAAGCATTCCCACTCTGAGATCTCGAAATTGGCATTCCAACTGTATATCCTTCAGTTGTACTTAACAGACTTGGCGACTAGGGAAAGTATTCTGCTCTGTTCAAAGGAGCACCCCATCGTACAATTGGCTCTACATGACGACAGTATATGGGCTGCAACTACCGACTCTTCAGTTGATAGGTGGTCGGCAGATGGACGAAATCCCCAAAAGGTTTTTCAGAAAGGCGGTTCATTCTTGGCTGGGAACTTGTCATTTTCTCGGGCAAGGGTTTCTCTTGAAGGGTCTACACCGGTAAGTGTTTATAAAAGCATTCCTGACATAGGTTGTTCTCCAAACAAATGTTGATATAGCTGTCTGTTTTCAATTAATTTACATGCAAAGTGCTTTATCATGCGGTTCTGCTTGCCAATGTTTGATTGAGCTGTGTTTTTTGTAAAATTTTAAATATAATTGTTTCATTAACTTTTCATTGGTTTTTCACTCACCTGTTTCTTCTGTGGATTCATGCCCAATTTGTCCCTATGGTCCTTTAATTTTCTCCAAATAATTCACTCTGGGGACTGGAAACTAGTTTGATTAGACTTAGCCTTGTTTTCTTTTCTGCTGTAGGTGCCTGTTCATAGGGAACCCACCCTGACGATTCCAGGAACTCCTGCGATAGTGCAGCATGAGATTTTAAATAATAAGAGACATCTATTGACCAAGGTAACCGTTGGAGTTTTATCTGTATATGGCTTCTGTTATGGAACAGGAACCTTTCAGTATGTCAGCGAGTGTTTGCTGAGACATTCTATGCCATTCATGTTGGATAGGACACTGCTGGTTCGGTTAAGCTATGGGAGATCACAAAGGGCGTGATAGTGGAGGACTATGGGAAGGTCAATATCCCTTTTCCAAATGGTCTTACTTCTAAGTTGTGTAACATGTTCTTACTTTTAAGTTGTGTGTTCTCTAGGTGCCGTTCGACGAGAAGAAAGAGCAATTATTTGAGATGGTATAAGTACTATGGATATTTTAGATGTGCATCTCTTGCGTTTAAGCTCCTTGGTATCTTAAATTGATAAGTGTTGTGGAACTGACTGTTCCTTACTTTTATATAGGTAAGCATTCCTTCATGGTTCACTGTGGATACGAGGCTTGGATGCTTGTCAGTGCATCTGGACACTCCGCAATGCTTTTCAGCTGAGATGTATTCAGCAGACCTCAGCATTCCCGGGAAAGCTGAAGATGATAAGGTGAATTAATTTAAAACGTTTGGTTTCTTTCTTTCATAATTCATGGATATTGAACAAAACACTTGATGTGTTGCCTACTTCTCAGAATTGGTTTAGTTTCTGATTTTGTGGAGAGATGTGCTGAGAAAATGCTTTGATTTGGTTGAGACCTTTAATGGCCTTTTTTTGTGGTTGGATGGGGGGTGGTTAATCTGAAACGTTCTCTGTTTACTTGAGAGCATATATCAATTTCTGAGGTCCTACTTTGTAATTTGTTCTCACAAGCATTGAAGCATGTGCCCGTCATTGATGTGTTTTGATTAAATGATTTGTTGCGAACCCCAAATATTGGCTTCTTGTCTCTGGGAGTTCCAGAATCACAGTCATTCTTGAAATTGATCTTGACTTCAGGTTAATCTGGCCCGTGAAACCCTTAAAGGACTGTTGTCTCATTGGTTATCCAAAAAAAAGCAAAGAGTTGGATCTCAAGCTTCTTCTAATGGCGAGGTTCTTCCTGGCAAGGATATCACTTCTAGAAGCCTTGCCAATTCCAGAGTTGAGGTAGATGGCAGTGCTGAGAATGACTCCATCATATATCCTCCATTTGAGTTTTCCACAGCTTCTCCCCCTTCAATTATAACCGAGGGCTCTCAAGGGGGTCCATGGAGAAAGAAAATCACTGATTTGGACGGAACAGAAGATGAGAAGGATTTACCTTGGTGGTGCCTGGACTGCGTGCTGCATAATCGCTTACCTCCTAGGGAGAATTCCAAGTAATGTTTCTCCCCATCCCTGGAAATACTGCAGTTACAGGAGTAGTTTTAGTTTCATACACATAAAGAATCTTTAAAAGGGGAAGCTGTCCTTTTCATTCCTCTTTACATTTTCAGCATGTAGTTAAACTTTTTTGAGGTATTTGCTATGGTGGCAAAGATCTTTGTACTCTTGCTGATTTTGGCTGTTGTCACTACCTGATGAGTTTAAGATGTTGAAATATCTGCAGGTGTAGCTTTTATCTGCATCCCAGTGAAGGCAATTCTTTCCAGATCCTCACACAAGGCAAACTTAGTGCTCCACGCATACTGAGAATCCATAAAGTATGTTTAGCAAAAAGTTTCATTGTGTGTCTTTTTGAATAGTGTGTTACTAGGAACAGGCCGACTATTTCCTTTGCTGCATACTTGGATATATTCATTTAAATCTGGAAACAGATCTCAAGTATTGAAATCAGCCACTATTTGACTGAGGCGTAGTCTTGGACTAGTTGGATGTGCATAACTTGCCATGTCTCTTCTTATTGAGCACATTTCATGATATCTGTTACTAGCTTGCATTATAATGGTTGGCTTTCGGCAAGTGTTTGGTTTTAGGAGCTGAGAGCAGAGACCATTCTTTTCCCCTGTTAAGACCCCACATTGTGGAGACGAACAAGGGCGTGGTCTAGTGGTAATGCCACTAGCCTTGAATTTGGAAGTCCCAGGTTCGAATCCCTTAAGTAGTACCTAACGAAAAAATGTAAACCTATATCACCCTTATATAAAAAATTAAAAAACGACCGCACATTGTGGAGACACTTAATTGCTTGAATTAGTTTTAGTATTGTAGGCTTTCTGTTTCTAGCCTTAGCTAGCACATTGAATTGTCTATCCATATTATGCCGATCCATATGTCAGAATTGTTTCTGTATTAACTGTAGTAAATGGTTAGTTTGTTGTCCATAGTTCTCAAAACTTGGTTGAGTTTTAAGAGCTCACTATTTTGTTCAGACCTTCTTCAACTATAAGTTAAATTCTTGAGAATTCTCCGTCATTCTGTCTAAGATTCAGAGCTTAATATAAATGGGTATGGATGGAAATGCTATAGTAACATGTTTGGTTCAGGGCTCTAATTGACCCCTCCCCAAATGCTTATGTCATGTCAGGTTATGTCGTGGTGATTTACTTTGTGTGATCTGATACAGATTAGCCAAACTTACTCGATTAAACTGATTCTTCTCTGTAGGTTGTCAATTATGTGCTAGAGAAGATGGTTCTAGACAAACCACTTGACAATTTGAATCCCGAGGGAACGTTTGCTCCCGGACTTGGTGGAGGACCATTGCAACATTCAGCACTTGGGGATGGATCTTTCCGCTCTGGACCAAAACCTTGGGTGAAGTCCAGGAATACTATAGAGATATTATGCAATAACCAGGTATCTGGATAAATACTCTTCCCATTGTGTTTAGTTAAAATAGTGTTATCATGTTCTAGCATAAAACGAGAAGCTATTCCTACTTCTTGATCTTCGCCTCCCCTTTTAGAGGGAGCATGAATGAAGAAAACAGTGAATATCCCCTTGAATTGACGGGAACTGTTTTGGAAACTTTCTGATGTTTAATGGACTGTATTTGTTTTCAGTCAATGATAGTCCTGATAGATTATAGCGTTTTATTAAATCTGATAGATTAGATTGTTAACAGCCAGTAATAACAAAGAGATAGCGGGACTAGGCAGTTATATTTGAGTATTTCAAATGCTTATCTGGCTGTTATTTCAAAGATCATTGGCACTCTGTTTTTTCTATCCCTCCTTGCTGGCAGTAGAGTGCAATAATCATATCATTAAACCTTCTATGCGATCCATAGCCCATCTTTTATGGTGGTAGAATCAAACCTTTCTCTGTTACTGGCTGATGTTTTGGCATTTTTCCTAGGTCCTGTCCCCAGAAATGAGTTTAGCCACAGTGCGAGCTTACATATGGAAGAAGCCTGAGGATCTGATCCTCAACTACAGAATTATCCAGGGAAAGTGATGTTATACACAACTATTTCCAAACAGGTCAGTCTTTCATTATAAGGTGTCCTCAACCTAATCTACAAGGCTGTTGTATGTTCGTCTCCATATCTTCTCATCTGTTCCGTTGCCCAACTTGCAGCACAATTTTATTGACATGACATATATCTAATAACTTCGTCAGGGTTTGGGGACAAAACATCACTTTATAGTTTTAGATTAGGGGGTTAGAATTATGATTGCTGGATAATAGTGTGTATTCAGCTTTCTTGGCTGAAGAACAAAGCTTAACTTTGTAACCGTTATTTAAATGTTACAGATATCAACTGGCTTCGAGACAAGTGATCTTTTCCCTATGTAAAAATACTTGGGAATGTATCTACTCTTCTGGCTGCGGTTACGTTGATAATCAGAAACGTGGAAGACCAGACCAATCAAATTGCAAAATATGAGGCCATTTTCAGAACTGCCTTGAAGATTGATGATGGCGTTCTCTTCCGGCAAACAGGTGGCACATAAATTTTGAACTTTCTCTGGCCATCTTGGGCTGTAAGGCTGGAAGGGACTGGGTTTCAGGTGGTAGATGGTCATTGCTGGTCTCAATATCCTGTAGCCATAGAACAACAGAATTAGTGTTCAGCTTGGTTCTTTTTTTTTTCCGGGTTGAAATAAATACCGGTTTTCTCCTGCTTTATGATTTTGTGAGATGTTTTGGATGGAGAATCAGTGACTTATGGGAGAGATGAAGCGAGCTACATAGAATCAGTGTTATTAGAGCCGAGCCGCTCGGCCCGACCGGTAAAACCGCCATCCGGTCACAAAACCGGCTCGTAACTGTCTAAAAGCCGTTCCGGTTTTATGTAGTGGTTGACGAGCGGTCGAGGTGGTTAACCGATCGAGCCGATCGAGCCGCTCGTCCGGTTTTTGCCATTTAGCAGTTAAATTTAATTAAATAAATTTCAGAAAATTAAAATAAACCAAAAACGTCAGGCTCTCAAACAGTCAAACTGAATCCTTGTTTCCATTTCACAATTTCGAAGGAAAGAGACGAACTCTAATTATGAAATGCCCACTATTTATACTGATAACGTTTATTAGGTACTGGTTCTCTAACGGTTTTGAAATGGTCTAATGCCGGTTGGACCACTAAAGTGCGAGCCGTTCGCATTGACGGGTCATGCTCCGATTTAATCACTAGAAAAATTTAATATCAATTTTGGTCACTCAAATTACTGAAACAAGTCACATTTAGTCACTCTCTCGTTAGTTTCCTTTCAACTTCATTAATGGAGTTGGACGGAAACTAACAGGAGAGTGACTAAATGTGACATGTTTCAGTAATTTGATTTAGGGCTGGCTATTTGGTCCGGGTTTTTTGGTTTTACTCGAAATCGGACCGTATAACCCGGACCGGGACCGGATAGTAAACAATTCAATCCAATCTTTGGGCTTAGATTTGAGGTAAAAAACCGTTCGAGACCGGATCGAAAACTGGATATAAAGACCGGATAAGAGAGCTCAACACCCAAAACTTAAGGGTAATTTGCATAAACGGTCATAAACCTTTGCACTTAGTACAAAACTTAACCAACTTCTCACCCTTCAGGCCTTAGGCCGCTCAAATCCCTACAAGCTCAATATAAAGTCAAGACCGAATTGGGACCGGACCGGATCAAGACCGGACTGTATCCAATCCAATCTTTGGTCCTTATATTTTCAAAAAGACCTAACTGGACCAGATTAATTTGGGCCAATTTAACCGAATAGGGCCGTATAGCCACCCCTAATTTGAGTGACTAAATGTGACACGTTTCAGTAATTCAAGTGACTAAAGTTGGATGGAGGCTAATGGGAGAGTGACTAAATGTGACATGTTTCAGTAATTTGGGTGAGCAAAATTGATATTAAATTTTTCTAGTGACTAAATATGACACAATTTAGTAATCTCGGTGACCAAATATGACATTTATCCTTTTTATGTGATGTAGTTCGAGTTCAACGTGCTGCGAATATAGGACAAGTAGCATAAATGGTCAAAAACCTTTGTATTTAGTGAAAACGATTACAAATTTTTAATTTGTAACAACATAGTAACATATATTTAAGCGTATATCAATGGTGATTTCGTCATTTTCCATCCAAATTTTTGATAATTTGATCAAGTCAACGGTCCTGTCAGCATCCATTTCATCAAAAGAATTAATAAAAATCAAAGATTTCTTTTTTTCGTGGAGAAATTCAAGATGCGATTAATTGGTTTTTTTTATTGAAGTCTCCTTCCCCGATAGAACTCTCACGAGTCACGACTATTCCACCACCATCTACAACGAACGGAGTGAGCGTGTGATCCATTCTTGCAGTCCCAATCACCTTGCAGGTGTCGTGTTCTTCCTGGGTTCTACATAGAACTTCCAGTGAAGAGATTCTCCAGAAATCGATCGATGATTTCGAGGAGAGAGAACAGAGGGGTTATAGGTATAATATGCCCCTCTACTATGACGTTTTATCAAGCATGCCCTTCTACTATTTTTTATATCAAACATGCCCCTGTACTTTGTTAAAATGATCAAACATGCCCTTTTTTAAAAATTTTCATCCAAAAACCGTTAACCAAGGTCGAACTTTGGTTTGAGCGACACAAATGTCTAAAATATCCCTAATAATTTCACTTTAATTTTTTTTTTGTTCTTTTGTATAGCCAAATAATTCAAATAATTTCACTTTGAAGAGACCCAGAGAAATAAAACGGGAGACAAAACTGACATTTTTGCTCCCATTTGTCGATGTCGGGTCGTCTAAATCTCGGTTCAACCATGATTGACGATTTTTTCAATGGAAATTTTATCAAAAGAGCATGTTTGATAATTTTTTCAAAGTACTGGGGCACGTTTGATGTAAAAAATAATAGAGGGGCATGTTTAATAAAACGTCATAGTAGAGGGGCATATTATACCTATAACCCGAGAACAGAGCATTATGTCACTTTTTTTTTTTTTTTTTTCAGTACTAAACCACCTAACAGGATATATTCATTGGTTTCAATATTTTAAAATAGATTATTTTTATTTAAAACGATATTTTTATCCAATTGTAGAAACTATCAACAATGGGTGTATAAGCAACGTCATTTACGGCTTTACGCAGTATAACACAAACTGTATACGTGCGCCTTTCTTTCCCGCTGAAAAGAAGTACCAAAACTCCGCCAATTCTAATTGTCGGGACTGCGACAGTTGATACTCTGCGGGAGCTCCCAATTCCCAGTTCCCATTGAAAACCTTCCCCTTTTCTGAAGCGAAAGCAACAACTTATCAGAAACCCTACACCGCAAAGTTGTTTCGTTGTGGCCACCACCGTTACCACAGCAATACTTGTGTGGACAGCTGATGCCCATAATCACTGTGGGAAAATATCGACAATTCCACCTTGAGTTGATTATGGGTTGCGGGTCCGCTTCTTTATTAAGGCATAGATACGCAATGGTTTCTGGGATTTCTTATTGTTCTAGAACCCATAACCTTCTTCTTCTTCTTCTTCCAGTTTTCGTCTTTGCCTGCTACCTATTTGATGTTTTGCCCCTCCCGCAGTTTTTGTTGTTTTCCTCTTTGGTTTTGGTTGGGAAGCATAAAAGTCGTGAGTTTGAGAGTTATTATGTAGTTCCGGATTTTCTCGCTATCAACACTTCGTACAAGTTAAAGGGTCTCTCTTGAGTTCTCTCTGCTGCGTGCTGCGTGGTTTTTTTAAGTTCCAAAGCTTCATGCAACCATTATTGAACAATTGCTTGGTTGAATTAATATCTTGAGTTGTGTACGTGAAGAGGGTTGGAAGCTCTTTGTAAAAATATTTGCTTGATTGGCTGGCTCTGACCGGAACTGTTCTGTTGCCTGTGAGTGAGACATGGCATCGTTGGTTAAAACTTTTCCTGTCTCTCTTCCTTTCTTGAGAATTCCAGAGAGCAGCAAGCATCATTTTCAAGTGAAGGTACGGAGTTTAGACAGTGGTGCAAACTCAACTTCGACAGGATTTTCATCAGATTCAGTGGTCGTGAATGGAAGGAGTTTCACAAGAGGCAAAGATGAGGTGGAGTCTCTGTTTGATGGTGGTGCTGTTGAGCAGAAAGAGAAGAGCGTGGCTCCTCTGGTTGATGACGAGAATGAGAGATTTATGAGGTTAAGCAGTGTTCGTGAGAAAAATAGAGGGAAAGGTGCTATTTCAGAGGATATGGATGTGTTATGGGATGATGGATATGGAACCAAGACTGTGAAAGACTATCTTATTGCATCTAAAGATATGATTAGGCCAGATGGAGGGCCACCTCGTTGGTTTTGTCCTGTTGAGTGTGGGGAACCTCTCAAAGATTCTCCCATTCTTCTATTTCTTCCTGGTAATGAAGAATACAAGTCTTCAGTGCTTGATAGCAACATTTGGAGTGAAATCTTTTAGGGTAGTTTGTGGGAATGCTGATATTTTTGTGCGCAGGGACCGATGGTGTTGGCTTGGGACTTACGTTGCATCATAAGGCACTCGGGAAGTAAGTCTGCACTTTCTGTCTCCACCTTGCTGGTAGATTATAGGGCTCATAAAGGGTTGATTTCAGACCTGCACGTTCCATTTAGTTGCAAGTTCCAGTAATTGTCTTCCTTGCTGTTTCAATGCTTTGGACTTTTCATTTCTCTGTGATATTCTGCAATCACTTGGCAGTTGCATTCTCGTGGACGAGTGGGAATTTGAACTGGTGAATGCAGAATGTGTTTTGATGGATCGGACCATGCTACTGAATGACATGCTCACGCCAAATTTTATCTCTTTTCATGCCTTCGATTTGATTTTCCTTATTCAGATGCATGATGTTCCTTCATATGCTTTTTTCATTGCAAAAACGGTTCGTTAGACATAATTTCTTCAAGATTTCACTTATGCAATGATTCTACGGAATGTGAGACGAATAATGCCTGTTTGGCAAATGCAGGGTGTTTGAAGTTAGGTGCCTCCATATTCCAGTTTATGACCGAACTCCATTCCAAGGTCTTATTCTTCCAGAGCATGTCCCATAACCTGCTTTCTGCGCTTTATCTACTTCTTTTTTGTGGTGGATCTTGTTCATGTGCGAATTGGCCTCTTGATTTGATGATCCTTTTGTCAGCCATCTTTTTATTAGTAGCTAGTTGGTCAAACAAGAAAATAAATATTTTCGCACGCCCTCTGGCTCTTTATCCAAAAGAAGTTTTCTTTCAACATTTTGTTTGCAAAGCCCGAAAGCTTATTACTTGGTACTTTTGGTGATCAGCCGTATGCTTGAATATCTAATTCTGTTGATATATCTGACAGACCAACACAACTTGTGGATGATCTAATACCCCTGCATTTTGCATCAGTTAACATTTATTGGGTTTATTTCATGAAGGCCTGGTGAAATTTGTGGAAGACACTCTGAAGTTTGAGCATGCCTCATCTCCGAATAAGCCAATTTATCTGGTAGGGGATTCATTTGGAGGATGTTTAGCTCTTGCTGTCGCTGCCCGGAATCCTCAAATAGACCTTGTAGTCGTACTTGTCAATCCAGGTCAGTAAGTTCCCAAGTTATTTATAATTTGTTAAATTTTTTTTAGAAAATTATTTGTTAAGTTGAAACAGTCTAATCTGACAATTTTAGTCTTTTGTTTTTTTTTTTACCACAGCAACTTCGTTTACTAGGTCTCAGATACAACCTCTGCTTCCTGTCTTGGAGGCTATGCCTAACGAATTCCATAGTCTGGTTCCCTATCTTTTGAGCGGCATCATGGGTACCTAATACTTGCATCATCTTTTTCATTGGCTATAGATTCTCCACAGAGGTTCAATGTGTTTTCAATTGCAGTCTTTCATAGTTCGAAAATGGTATGCCTACTCTGAACCACTGTTGATGGTTTCTTCACAGGTAATCCATTAAAAATGGCAATGGTTGATTTGGAAGATAGGCTTCCTCCAAGAGCGAAAATTGAACAGTTGTCTGGAAAACTTACATCGTTACTTGGTTATCTTTCTGTAAGTCCTGAAAATTCAAATTCATGGTCAGTTCAGTCTTCAATATGCACAAACTACTGTGTTCAGCCGGAGAAAGACCACCTGTAGCCCTCAGGAACTAAAATCCTAAATGATCACTAAATTATGGGATTTGTACAAAACGGTCATTACACTAAGGATTTAAAGCAAATGCGAAGTTAAGCTAACTAATTGTCAACTAAGCAAACACTTGACATCCTTCTATGTAATATGTCGTTAGTTTTGTGGAGTCAATATATGCCAGATAGGTTGGTCTGCCACCAATATCATCCGATCAGTATCCCACGCACCCACTTGACCCAAACCTTTCCAACTTGATCCCAACCAGAAAAATGGAGATTCAACCCGTCTTCAAGTTGAAAAGGTTTGGGTGAAGTGGGGGCAGGAATGCCGATTGGACGATTTGATGACATGGTGAGCCTACTTTTGGACTACTAGATGGATTTAATATCTCTGTGCACGTAAAAATGCGCCGCCTTTTATGTGGATGGTTTTTTTCTTCTTCTTTCAGGTGTTAAGTGAAATTATTCCAAAGGAAACTCTTGTTTGGAAGCTGAAACTGATACAGACAGGTTCTTCTTATGCTAATTCACGTCTGCATGCTGTAAAAGCTGAAGTACTACTATTCGCCAGGTGCCTGGCCACATGCAAACTTTATCTTGGATTTGGTTATCTGGACTAGCTCTTGGCTGCTTTTCAAAATGACAATATTGACGATAAAACTGATGTGTGTGTTTTCTATTTGAAGTGGCCAAGATTCTATGCTTCCTAGCAAAAATGAAGCTCAACGTCTGAAAAAGGGGTTGCAGAATTGTCAAGTTCGTTACTTCAAAGACAACGGGCATACCCTTCTATTGGTGAGTCTGAATGAATGTTGAAGAGTGACGCTTCTAAGCCCTTTTATAAAGCTCTTCTGATAATGGAAGAGAGCTTCTGACTAAAGCTGATGGATTCTTGGTCTCTTCTTTTTCCCGTTCCTTTTTCTCCTTTATATTTGTTTCTTTCTGTCCGTGGTGGCGCAGGAAGAGGGCCTCAGTTTGCTTACTATCATTAAGGGTGTAGGCAAATATCGTCGTTCGCGGAAGGTCGATTTTGTCAGGGATTATGTCCCACCCAGCAAATCAGAATTTGAACGGGTATTCTTCAAAGATGGCAGGTAAGGTGCTCTGCCATTTCTCATGCCACAGTTAGTCTTTCTACATAGGCATTCTTCAAATCAGAAATTAAATAAAATTATATTTTGTTTACAATCTGATACACATATCCGAAATAGATCAAATATCTATTTGGTCTGGTTTGCTCCGTTCCGTGTAGACAGAATTTTGGCCCATCCAAATCACAGGTTAGGTGTGATACGGTAGCTTAGAACATGGGGTTAGCCGTTAGGACGAGTAGACTTGTTTTGATGTGTGATTTGCTAAAAAGAGAATAATCCGATTCATTTTTGAAAAAGTTGAGGAAAAAAGACTTCTTGGAAATAAAATTGAAATGATGGCTTGACTATTATTGTAAAATTGCTCATAGATTGGAGGCTGCACACAAGTAGTAGCTAGGTAGAGAGAAAATAAAATTGAAGTCAAGATAGATGATTATGACTAAATATTTTATAACATGAAAGATCTGTCTCATACGACCTACGAATCGGATGATAGTAATACACATTCAAACGAATCATGTCAAAATTGTCATCTCTACTCCCAGTTTCCTGATTGGTATTGGGAATAAACTGCTGAATAGCTCATAGCTCCAAAGCCATCTCTTAGTTGATATCTCCACTCTTTTGATAGAAATCAACACAAACTTGCAGGTTCATGCAGGCAGCTACTGGAACTGTGATGCTGTCAACATTACAAGATGGAAGTATAGTGAAAGGTCTAGCTGGAGTTCCAACACAAGGGCCTGTGCTGTTAGTTGGGTACCACATGCTGATGGGTATTGAACTTCAGTCCCTTGTTGGGGAGTACTTGAAACAGAAGAACATCCTCCTTCGCGGTATAGCTCATCCAGCAATATTCGGCGGCAGATTTGAGTCCTCATCCTCTGAGTTCAATTTCCAGGACTGGATTAAAGTGATGGGTGGAGTACCAGTTGCAGCAAGCAATTTTTTCAAATTGCTCTCATCAAAATCACATGTTCTTCTTTATCCTGGAGGTGCCCGAGAGGCTCTACATTACAAGGTATGCATGTCCAAGTTCTTCTGCGGTCAATATTTAACAGGGGTATTCAGCTTGGAAATCAATCCTTTTTTCAGACATCCAAATTAACTCGCATTATTGAGATACACTGCTTTTTAACATGATAGCATAGTCTTTGGCTGTTCAAAATTACGCATTTGAATACTGATAATCCCCAAAAAGAGAGATGGGAAGATAAGAAGGCTGCATAGTTCAGCCCCATGTTGCCAGTTGAAGTTCCATTTGCCTGTTAAAGGACGGCCATGCATCTTTTTTTTTTTTTTTTTTACTCTGAATGCTGGTTACTACTTTCAATCTCCCCATTGGCTCAATTCAGCTACTGGTTTTCCTTTTCAACAATTTCCAGGGGGAAGCACACAAGCTGATCTGGCCTGAACAACAAGAATTTGTCAGAATGGCTGCCAAGTTCGGAGCTACAATTGTACCGTTTGGAGGCGTTGGAGAAGATGATCTAGTAGAGGTAACCCTTTTAGTTCTTGCTCAAGGAAGTAATCTCTCAAATTCGAGCTTGTGTTTATAACTTTGTCATGCTGAACATGGCAGTTAGTTCTGGACTACAAAGACCTGATGAACATCCCTATCCTGAACAACTATGTTAGAGACATTGCTCACAGTGGTCCGAGAGTGAGGTGACTTTCCCCCCCTCCCTTAATGTCTATGTATAATTTCTGTGATAGCTAGCATTGTCCCCCACTAAGTTGTTGCTGCTGGGGTAAATTAATAGGGATGAGGCCAAAGGAGAAGTTGCCAACCAACAACTCTTTGTTCCAGGGCTTTTGCCAAAGGTTCCTGGCCGAATGTATTTTCTCTTCGGGAAGCCTATAGAGACTACAGGAAGGGAAGACATCCTCAGAAACAGAGAAGAAGCTCAACAGCTCTACTTGCAGATAAAATCTGATGTCCAAGCAAATATAGATTACCTTTTGAAGAAGAGAGAGAAGGATCCTTACCGGAGTGTTTTTGACAGAATGGTTTTTCGTGCACTGTATCCTTCTTTGCAGGAAGTTCCCACATTTGATCTCTAAGAAGAGCCATTGGCACTAATTAAAGCAGTTGCTGCAAATTCTGGCATTCGTTCACAAAAATTTGTTTGTATAAAGGGAAGAAACGAGTAGGATGCGATTGCTAGGTCCTGATATATAATCGATTATCTGTTGTATTGTCATACATTAGAGAAGTGGAAGACTTCGGTTAGACATTCTAATGAAGTCAATCATGTGTTCTCCTGCAATGTTTATCTATCAGTATCATTTTCTTTTCACTGTGGAACTTACCAATAACTGAATCTCTCCATGGCAAAATTTCCACGAGTGAAGGTCTTTTCTCTGAACTGTTAAAGGAAGACGGTTTTGAGGGAAAATGATAAGGAAAACAGGAAGAAAAGACTGATGCGTGATCCTTCCTTTTTGCTACACCCGAAATGGAAAGTGACTTCTGATCTAACATTTTGTTATTTTCTGTGTTCCCTTTCCTTTCTTGATTCTGTGCAAGTTGCAGAGAATGTGGAGCAGAATAGGAAAGGAAAAGCAGACACAAATGATGTTTTGGGGAAACTCCAACAGTGTAGTCGAAACTGGAGGTCTCAATCCAGAGAAAAGGAAAATTAGATTCTCTGAAGTTTGTTCTTTTCCTGAGTTGAAACCAGACTCACAATGCATGTTTTCAAGTTCAACAGTTGAAGAGATTCAAATTCTTCGTGCTGCTTATCTTCAGCTGTTTTTATTCTTCCACCATTTCCCTTTCACCTTTATTCCTTCAGTAATTAACGGACACTATCTGATATTCCAGGGGGGACCTTCAAACTAAAGAAGGACATTGCATGGCCAAGCACGTAGAATTCGATCCTCAGAACTTCTGCAGATTTAAACAGCATAAGATCCCTTTGAAGTGCTAAAACAGATGGAACCGGACATCGTTCCTTTCCATTTACTGAGTTCCCTTGGCTATATAACAATGTGAGCAACAAAGAGTTGATCAGAGAGTAGTTTTCAGCTTCGCTTATACGCAACATGGCAGGGTATGGCAATGCTTTCAAAGGAGGCTACACAACGTACACCAGCCCACGAGCCGGCGAATGGAGGGAACCAAGTACCTACCCTTCTGATCAAGTCCACAAGCCAGTGATCATTGATGCTGAAGGGAGGAAAAGGCCGATTGTAGCTCTTCCCAGCGAGACTGCAGAGTCCTACAGAGCTGAGACCATGTATCAGCAGCAGCAGCAGCATGCTCTCCCATCGGAGAAAAGGCATGGTCACTCCATGGAGCCTGCGAATGTGGAGCACTACAGAGTTGAACAGAAAGTGCATGAAACTTCAGACCCGGTTTACAATCGCCTTCAGAAAGTAGAGGAGATCATCACCAAAGTGCAGCATGAAGTCAGTAACACACAAAAGTTTGGACTTTTTAATGGTGGTAAGGCATCTCAGCCTGATTCCTCCCTTCCTGGTGCAACAAATAATATTGGCACAGCGATAGGGTACCTCAAAGAAGCCATCAAACCAGCCTATACAGAACATATTCCTAGCAAGATGGAGACAACCCATGAGACTGGGTGGCCTAAAAGAAGTACCAATTCCGCATGGTCTGCTGCTCCAACTGAAGCCTACAATCCTTACGCCACAAGGACTAACGAGCCACGACACTTGAAAACCTTGGACCCCCATGAATCTGTGAAAAGGTATGGTAATTTCAAGTTTTCGCCCAGGCCATATGCAACAGGAAGATAATTTGAAATAGAGAAGTTTGGTAGCTCTCTCTATTGACCCATCAGTTGCTTCTTGATCTACCTAAAGTTGTTCTTCGGCTCAGTAGCTACTACTAGCTATTGGGTTTTGCTTATTTTCAGTCAGCTATTCAGTATGCCTATTATTGTGTCCCAAATTGTTATGATATTGTGATAAGGAATAAGTTTCTGTGTTTCTAAGCGTGAGCAATAAAGTAATGAGGAATCTCTGTCTTCTTTGTGGAGCATTCTTCCTTTTTCATGCATCTATACTATAGATGGTTGAGATAAACAAGTGCTATATTACCAAGACAGAAAACAGCACGAGTGTAACGACTCTGGCAAGTCCGTTTGCTGTAGGATCTGAAAAGTGATGGATGGTGCAGAATCAATGGATTTGAACAGAATAATAGACAACATGAGCGATGAATTTCACAAACCCTCATCTAGGGGTGGATCTTTTAAATCCATGGGACCAACGAGATTTGGTAACCTTATGGATTTCCAACCCCAAAAGACACTGGTACATTTTTTTGGCTCCATAAACAAGGGTTTTGGAAGCAACACTCTACCCATTGATTTCGGTGCCCGTATCCATGTCGTCACTACTTTCTTACTAGTGCTTAAACAAGTGATGATAACAACTACAATTAATGCCAGCCATACATGGATGATGGATTGAAATAACCATGTTCACGGAACCACAGTTCAGGAAGAAAGTTCTAAAATGGCACATTCGTGCAAAACCTGTGCTATTACTGGCATACTTAGGGAAATCTATACAGACGAATTTTGAAAGAATCGATTAATTTAAAAGAAGTACAAAGACGGTACCTGAAGTGCAAGCTTCCTGAATGTTGAGGTCAAATACTTGGTGAGCTCCACCTCAATGGTTTTTTGCAGATACCAAGTTGCTCAAGTCTAAAGTCTTCCGGATTTCAACTTGAAGGACTGAAGTCTACTGATACCTTAAACAGTTTCTCACAGCCTGTAAGATTCAACCTCAATGATCTCATCAACTTTGGCTAAGTTAAAAATTCTACCCGGTGAAGAGCACTTTCGTTGCAATTAATTCTATCGAACTTGCTGGAAGCTTTGGCTGTGATTGGAGACAGCTGCATTCATCTCGCCAAAGGAACTCCAGTGTTACTCTCCAAAACGTTTCTACATAGAAACTCGCTTTTGACTACATTGGATATAACGAATCCCAAAAGGTGGAATGACAAGTTGAACTTGTTGACTTCAATTGTTCTAGAGCTACATCATCAGCAGCATGGAGCACCTCGAGTGACTCCATTTTATCTAACCCGTGAGGTAACTCATCAAGCGTCAAACAACCAGAAAGAAGATCTCTTCCAGCAGTTTCAGCATTAGAACAGAAGGATCAACTTTCCCTATCTATTCATTGACCTCGGTCAAACTTATGCAGTCTTCTAGCACTAATCTTTCGAGACAAGGAACTCAAGAGATGGTTGTCAAGGAGCTTGGCAGTAGCTGAGATCAAGGGGCTTCAATGCTGGAAGCATCTCTTTAAGACAATTAATTTTCAGACACAATATATACAACAAGAGATGGTTGTCCAAATCAATATTATACGTATATCCGACTGCTCGTAACAATTATAAGAGGTCGAATCTTGAATTTGTAAGCTCTAATCACCTATGATCATGACCTTAGTGCCTTTCCAAACATGCTTCAACTGCTACTTTGCATATCAAGAACAACAAGCTTCTCCAGTATGGAGATTGCCCTTTGATTCTCGAATACCCTTTGCGGGTGTGCTGAGATCAGAGCAAAGCAGTAAGCTTTTCCCCTTGACGAGAATAGCAAAGGCTGATTTGAGAGCTGAGAGATCAGTTTCTCAAATGAATTCTGGTTTCAGAAGAAGAAAGCACCTCAGCTTCAATAATCAGGCGACCTTTCAACTTTTGATCACTGAAAGAAGAATTGTTTGGCCAGAACCAGGTAGTCAACGCAATAATAGTGCTACTTATTTTAACAATCACAATTCTCTTCCTCCTCTGTCTAACGGTGAACCCTGCAATGTTCGTTTTTGGTAAAACCGTGCACAAAAATTCGTGTATTAGTCTCGCATTGTTACGAGACTATTTGCTCAATAAGAACATGAAAGGATCAGTAGCTTGGGCTTAGCGTGTCTACAATTGATAATTCGGTATGATAAGTTCCTAAAGAAAGTGAGTGTCCTGTCCAAGGTGAGAAATGTCGTCTGATGCGTGGGTGTACATAAAATTTGGTGAAGAAAACAGAAGTACTCCAAATAATGTAGTGCGCAATGAAGATTCTCACATTTACTCAATTCGAGTTGAACATTATTACAACGATTGACAAACTCTCCGCAGTGCAGAGAACAAGGCAATGTACCCAAAGCCATGCTCTGTCTGACCATTCGAAATTTTGAGCTTTCTATTGCCATTGCCGTGCAATCAATAATCTCCCATGTCAAGCTGTTTGAGAAAGGTAACTTCTATTTCCTGCTATAACCAAATCCAATCACCTCCGCAGCAAGGCACATCAAACCACTGCCTGAAACAGAAACAACACAAATCGTGGCATTTAGGACGATGGTTTGACAAACTTCAGGACATGAGGCATTGTACTTGTAGAAGAACTGCAGTGCGATATCGGGACTTTCACATAGATGCAGACTTCAGGTTTTGTTCTCTAGATTAACATGTCGGGGTTAGCTTCCCATGACAACTCAGCTAAGTTCCCCAGATCACATTAGATTTTAATGACAAGTCGATGGAATCATATTGTAAATAATTTTCTACTTCATAAGAGATTGAGTAGTTCTAAACTAGGAGTAGACTCATTATAATTTGCATTAGAGTCTCAAGAATTTTTTTTTTGTCATTTTTACAAAGTAAAAGTTTGATTTGGGGTTATGCTAGAATTTCTGAGTTATTCTATGACAGAGCTTAGTCTGACCTATATGGCCGAGTTAAGTGCTTTAGTTGACTCAAATCAGAGTTCAGTAGCTATTTTGTTCTATATAGATGAGTATAGTGACCATATTGGTCATTAACCCACCTAAAGCCATCACTTTTATTAACAGTAATATATAGAAAACAGAAGCCCAACAGGTTCAAATTAAGAGGCCACCAATCTCAAGTTCAAAGACAGCTTCTTAGAAAGAAAAGATTGAGAAGTTGTGAGAAGAGCTCACCAGGTACCTTTTGCAACTGCTGGACAGGAAATGTCATGTCATGAATTATGAAACTGTGGACCCTTGCTGGCCAACTTCAAATTGAAAATATTAGCTGCATGCCGGACGGTGCACACAAATTTGATAAAAACGGTATCAGTACCCTCCCACGAACCTCAACAGACTTGATAATGGAACCTAGAATTTAGCTAACAGACAGACTGTACAGCATCTGTTAATCAGTTCACCATCCAAAGGATATTTACTCAATCAACTTCCAATCATTAAGAAGAAGAGAAAGGTGGCCTCTGGGTTTGCCTTTCTACGCTTCGGTTAGATCAAAGCCTTCTGCCCAGCTCCCCGGTTTGAGGACAGGTCAGTGCAAAGCACTTTGTTGATGATTGCATATGTAAATGTCGAAAACGTACACAAATGCTGAATGAAGACAGAATCAGCAACAATGAAAGTTATGCTAAACTGCAAAATTGATGTTCTTGATGTGGAAAGGTCACAGATGGGATAAAGGTACCTGCTCTTCCTGAATTGTATGTCAATTTAGTTTTTATGCTACAAGCCAAGGGCAGGAGGTAGAAGGAGCAAGGATCCATACAAGGGTCCAATAAGCCAATTCAATGTATGCTTTTCAACCCACCTTCTCAAGCTGCCACAGGGATATCTCTAGCTCTAATAAGATGGTCAATCTTCCTACAACTTGATTGACCTGAGTTGAGGTCCTGAACTAACATGTGCTTTACTCGGTATGCTTCACTAGCCATCCCAGCTTTCAAAAGGCAAGATGTCAACGAACTTATGGTAATGCTATCTGGGGCACAACCAATAGTCAACATCTTATTGAGAATACCAATTGCATCAGCCATTCTACCTTTCATACAGTGACCAACAATGAGTATGGTAAATGTCACTTTGTCAGGAATGCACTTCTTCTCTTCCATCTCCTGGACAATGAGATTTGCCTCATTCACATTTCCTGCCTTGCAAAACCCGTCAATTACCGGATTATACATGAATGGTCGTGCCACGACATTACTCGACTTTAGTTCATTCAAAAACCCACGAGCCTCATGAAGTCTATTCTCTTTGCAAAGAGCATTAATAAGAATGGAATATGTATACGAATTGGGCATCATGTTTCTAGTTCTCATCGCATCCCAAAGCTTCAAACCCATGTTCACCTGTCCACTTCGACAATAACCATCGATCAAGGAAGTGAAAGTAACCACATCAGGAGAGCAACCGAAATGGCCCATCTTTTCGTAGATGGCTTCTGCTGCAACCATGTTACTGTCCTTGCCATATCCATCAATTAGAACGTTGAAAGTGATTGTGCTGGGCTTAACCCCAGTCCTAATCATCTCCTGGAAAAGAATATAAGCATCCTCCATCTGCCCCGATTTGCAAAACGCTGATATAACTGAAGTGTAACTGACAACATCTGGGGAGCAATCATTGCTAGATTGCAGCTCCTGCAATAACCCACGGCCTCTATCCAAGTCATTTATCCTACAGAGTCCATTTATAAGAGAGTTGTACGTAACAATATCAGGCAAACAACCGAAACTCCTCATATCGTTCAAAAACTCGAATGCTTTATCAACCTCCCTTACTCTGCAAAGACCACGGATTAGAATGTTGAAAGTCCAAGTATCGGGACTAGCCTGCAATGCCAGAAACTCTTTGAACAAAATGATAGCTTCCTGCACTTGATTCGACTTGACCAGTTCATTCAACAGGTTATTATACAGAAAAGGACTAATCTGAACACCCATTCCCCTCAGCTCTGAGAGTAAACTACCGGCGAGATCGAATCTTCGAGCTCGAACGAATTCAGTAATCATAAACCACGACAGATTACCATCAGGAAAATGCCCGTCTCCCCTCATGTAATGAAACAGAAGTTCCGCCATATCAAGCATACCCATTTGACAAAATGACCTTATCATCCAATTATAAGTACCAAAGCAATGGATTAGGCTCAAATTCGATCTACTGAACTCCAAGAACTTGAACCCTACTTCAGGGACGTCCTTAAACCTCTTAATCACCTCGACCGCAATCGAAGGGGTCAACTTCCCTCGAAGATATGACAAACAAGGATCCAAAGAACGCAAATTGACGAAGAAGAGCGTCGACGCGAGTTTAACAAACCAAGCTTCTTCCTCCTGGTTCTTGATTATCATTACCTCCTCCCTATCCGGCGATCCACCTTGAGTGTGAAAGTGAAGGTTGGTAATGGAAGCGATTGCGGAGGCTCGAACCCTGAGAGGTCGCGGAGTGAAGGATAAGAGGGTGGTCATCTGCTACCATCCAGCGCCATTTCTTGAGGAAAAAAAAAACTTTCTTTAGTCAGTTACCGTGTTCCAAGATTCAATGGCGGATGCCTGAGAAGTGACGGCCCCGAAAGGCATGAAGCTATCGGCGGTGAGTAGGGTTTAAGGAAAAATAGAGCTCAGTGGGCGCAACTGACAGTTCTTCGCGAAGGTCACAACTCGGAACTAATCTGTGCTTTGAGTCGTGACTCGTGAGAGAGCAGAAAGAAGCGACTGGATTGCGCCTTGCGCAGACGGAGGGCAATGGTTTGGGCCACGGTATTCCGTTTAGTGGGCTTATTGAACAAGACAACTTTAGAATGTTTATTGAGCCCATATATCTATCTTCTACAAACTCCTATAAGGAGATTCCACGGGAGAAGGGGGTTTAAACCCATATTGAAGCCTTGAGCGCATCCCACGGAAGGATACAAGTGTCTTTTCATTTTTTAGGCTTTTACGGCCTCTTCTTACTAACTCCGCTGACTAGAAATAATTTCATTATTGGGCCTAAAGCCCCAAACTACGATTTGGTCAATTTATAGGCAATTTATTTTCTCCTTTTTTTTTTTTCGTTGAATCAGGTGCCCTCTTCTTATTAATCAAGTTAGCAAGAAGCTAAACAAAACCAGATACAACGAAAGGGAGGTATCGAAGTGATACCCCCAAAGTCCTGCAAAACTACACAACTGACGACTACAGTAGGAACCTTAGCATCGACTACTAAGCATAGATCTTATAGAATCCCAATACACTCCAAATCCCCCAAAATACACCTTGTTTCTCCTATAATCAAAAGATCTCGCTTGATTAAGGCTTGCAACTCTGATACAGAATGTGAAGCCCCATCATACATTCTTCGACAACGCTCCTTCCAAATCGAGGCTACCAAGAAGCACCAAACCATCCCTGCAAGAGTGCCATTTTTCCTTCTGCAAATAGAACAAGCAGCAGCCACTGTGGCTGGCCAAGTTGCACAGCACAAAGGTAAAGAGCAAACCCCTTGAACCACCTCTCTGGAATACTCGCATTGGAAAAACAGATGCTCCCTAGAGTCAATCCCTTGCCTGCATAAAACACAACCAGCATCTACACTTTTCCCCCATTTCACTAACTTCTCAGACGTGACAATACCATCAAGCAGAATAGTCCAAGCAAGAAAACTATTCCGAGGAACAAAGCCTTTGCCCCATACTAATTTGTACCATTCCACAACAGGCCATTTCGGCCTAATCCCCTCCCAAACAACACTTAGTCGAAACCTGGGCATAGGAGTTTGATCCCAAAGAACCACCCCCCCCTGAACAGAGTAATGTTGCTGCAACACTTGTCTTGTTTTCAAAATTCTACGCCAGGCCCAGGAGCCACGAGAACTGGACTTAATTGTCCAGATGCTACCTTGCTTGATCCTATAAGAATGGATCCATGCTACCCATATAGTCCCACTCTGCATCAGAATCAGCCAGATCATACGAGCAGTGCATGCCTGATTCCATGAAAAAAGCTCTTTCAAACCCAGCCCTCCCTCCTGCTTTGGCCTGGCCATCCTGTCCCATCCTATCTTCGCTTTGCCATCCTCATTTCCATGCCATAAAAAGGTGGAGCAAATTGTCTGAACCTGTTTGAGGACTTTCTTAGGGAGCAAGAAAACCTGCATCCAATACTGCAATACCCCCAGAAGGATAGAGCTAACCAACTGAAGCCTCCCAGCATAGCTGAGCCTCTTTGCTCTCCAGGACTTGATTTTGTGGGTGATTTTAGCTACAAGTTTGTCACAATCAGCAGTAGACAGTTTTCCAGTTATCAGTGGAAGACCCAAATACCTCACTGGAAGCATCCCCTCCTGAAAACCAGACACTAGGAGAGCTCGACTCTTAAACATCACTGACAGCCCCCCAAAGTAAACCTCACATTTTGCAGGGTTGCACTTCAAACCAGACAGGGTATAGAATTCAGAGAGAATTCCTTGTACCTTAGATATAGCAGTCCCTGACCCTTCAGTAAAGATCAAAAGATCATCAGCAAAACTCAGGTGAGTTAGCTTCACTTTTTTACACTGGGGATGATAAGGAAGATGGCCAAGAGCAGCAGACTCATTCAACAGTAAAGATAACCCCTCCATGGCAATAGTAAAGAGGTAGGGTGATAATGGATCACCCTGCCTCACACCCTTTTGAGCCCCAAAATATCCACAAAGCCCCCCATTAATACAAATACTGAACTTTGCAGTTTTAACAGTCAATTTAAGCCAGTTAATAAAGCAAGCAGGGAATCCCATAATGTCCATCATCAGAAACAGATAAGCCCAATTAACTGAATCAAAAGCTTTCATAAGGTCTACTTTAATAGCACAACGAGAAGACAGATGTAATCTATGATAGCCACTAACCAACTCTTGTGCCATTAAAATGTTGTTAACAATTCTTCTCCCTTCTATAAATGCAGATTGATTCCCACTGATGACTTTAGGAAGCACCCTCTTCAGACGATTAGCCAACACCTTAGCTATTATTTTGTATAAAATATTAATGCAAGATATTGGCCTAAAGTCTTTAAGAGCAAAGGCAGAAGGTACCTTAGGTAATCAAATGAATTTGATACTACTTCAGTCACTTTGAACTCTAATTAAAACATATATAGAGTATGTTAAAATATGTTAACCTTCACTCCAAGTTGGTCGACCAAACAACCACAAGATCGGCTATTTGATATTTCGATAAACCATTATCTGTCATATATATATATATATATATAGGGCCACAAATTTCTATATGTACATGTATGTTTCTTTGAAATGATCGGCATGAAAAACAATGTGATCAACATGACTTAAGCCACACAAATTATATCACATAATATAACCATATTAATCAGGTCGATCAACAGCTAGGGTCGTTTGGTTTTGGTGATATTTAAATCAATACATGCATTGTAATATACATGCAATTAAGGGAAATGATGTAAATGTACTTTACATTGTAACTATCCCAACCAAACTATCACAAAAACCAAAGTTTTCACACAGATTTTTTGGAGTTTGAACAAAATCATCATAGGAATGCCCAACCAAAAATGTCAAAATTTGTTTTGTTCACTCTGCAAAAAAGTAAACATCTATTTCAAATCCCATTCAAATTCACTTTAAATGTTCAAGTGATTAATTAGACGGAAGTTTATATGTGCATGTAATATTGTAATTTGTGGTGAGAATAAAAACAATAGAAATTCTTTTAGGAAGATTATTTTTTAACTTGAGAAAAAATGGTGTTTCACATGTGTAAATATTTTATCATTAAGTTCTTGCTTTAAATGAAACACATAAGAAGAAAAAAGAGTCTTATAATAGTGGAGGTAGTGCTTTCAGAGATAATGACGTTGTTGAGAAAAAAGTAGAGACAACTAATTGTGGAGATAGAATTATAAAAATTTAGCAAGAAGTGCAAATATGAGACAATATTCATTATTTGAAAGACGTAAAAAATTATTTTCATATTTTTTTAAAAAATACAAATTTATTTAGCTCTCAATGAAATTCAAGAGATGAAGTAAGAGACTAAACGCAGGAGACCAATCATAAATATTGATATTGGAAATAGAGGTGTTATTAATGGAGATGAAGGTGTTGTTGTTAGTGGGATGATAATGCTAACGAGGAAGCAATCACGAAGTCAAAAAGAAATTTATAAAGTAATTCTAACTGAAGTGTGATTTGAACACATTTTGTAGAAGTTGATTCCCTTGCATGATTTATTTTAAATTTCGGCAATGATATTAGTTGACGAGTTTGTTATGATATGAATTTTTCTTTCAAATTTATGATTCATGTTTTTGTTTTATTTTATCAATAATTTAATATTTGGATTAATTTATGATAGAAAATTAGAAAATTTATTTTTGTTTTTTATACCATTGATAAAAATATATCCGGCCAACGGGCCGAGTTCAAATCTAGTATATATATATATGGCCAATACTATGGTGCCGCGGTAAAAAATGCGACACCGGTGCCGCTATTTTTGATTTGTCCACGCGCGCAATGAGGTGGCATTGGTTGAGTCATTAATCATTATAAAGCCGAAGCCCAAACTCGTTGCCCAGAATTTTGGCCCAACCGTCACCCCTTTTCCGTTAGACCATTACACGTCCTGTTACTTTTCAGTCAGTTTGTATTATTTGTTTTTTCAATTAATTCCATTAACAAAAAGACTATTGCTTTGAATTGAATTCTTTTTCTCCATAAACAAGAAAAACGGGACTGAAAATATTATGTTCATCTTCCTCGTTCCCGGTTCCCCCTCTCCGGCAGCCTATCAAAAGCACTTCCCGTGAGTTCCCCGTCGACGAACCAATCTCCATTCTATAGCGCCGCCGCCACTAAAGTCCTTGTATATTCACCTTCCTACGGCTACATTTATTCCGTAAAAGAAAAAAGTTTTGAATCCCTCGGCACAACCGACACCGCCTCCGTCAAACTGCCCCGTCGCCGTACCACACGATCCCAAACCAAAGAGAAAGAGAATTGTCATCTCTCCGTATCGTACCCTTCGCTTTGCTCCCTTTTTTTTGGAATCATCGAAACCAAATGCGAAGTTTATTGGAGGTGCCTAAAGACTTTCCCCAACGAATCCAAAGGCTTCCATATACGAGTCATTTGTATTTTGGGAAACAAGGATAATAATTCTTTTTGTTTTTGTGTTTGCACTGTTTTTCAAGGTCAGTGATGCTGCAATGAGTCCTTGTTTTCGTTTCGTGTTTGTCCTTTGTCTTTTTGTGTTTACCGAGAAGCAGGGATTCGTGCTCTGTTTCTGTTCTGCTTCTGTCTTCTCCTTCCATCTTTTCTCTTATGATTTTTTTTTTGCTTCTGTTCGCTAGAGAAAGGTTGTATTTGCAGTGGGTCTGTGCCCTGTGGGATGCTGCTATTTGCATTGTGGCAGGGTTGTTAGTCGGTGTATCAGTTTTTGGGGGGTTTGTTGAATTACGTTGGTCAC